GTCTATGCAGGGTACAGAAGTCAGTGAGAAGAACCAGCAGCTCTCACAGTAGCTGCTCTGAGTGGTGCTAAGGAACAGATTTCACTCCTGTGTTCCAGTCCTTTTTGCATTACAAAAGACATACCAAAAGAGACTGCAGAGTGCTTTAAATGTCTGTGCAAACTATGCAGCCAAAAAGGCTGGTAGCTCTCTCTTAGGGCAAGTGATGATATTATCTCCTGCCACATTTTAAAGGAAGCCAGGAATGTGAAGTGTTGGATAAGGAGAAAAACCGGTACCCCATATGTGTCCTTAAAAGTCCAAATACAATTGTTTTACACCGGAGCTCACACTCTGCATGCCTAGCAACCTGACATTTCCGTTTGCTCTTACAAGGGTTTTGGCTTGACCAAGAATACTGATACTGATCCACCAGTTCTATGCCTCGTTCTTACAACTTTGCTGAACGAGGAACATCTGAATCTACCACCTCAGATTCTGAGGGTAGCCCATGCCATGTGTAATGATGGTGCTTTCCAAGGCTACGACTGGTCTCCCTTCCATCAGGGCTTCTTGTACGGAGGGCTGAATCCTGACATAAGCACCTGGGGATAAACACAGAAAAGTGAATTATTTGCATGGGTATTTGCAGTAACTACTGAACTGTTTTGTAAAAGGCAAATTGTCGTCATCACAATAAATTTATCCCCCTCTTCATTTGTTCTTTGGGATGAACTCACAAATAACTTCATGAAGACTAAAGCTGTGTTTTATGTAGGTCAAATATTTGAAAAATATCCCTGCTGTCAATATGAATAATAATCCTCGTCATCGCCACTGAGTGTTCCTCTGCCACCATTTTTGCAGTTGTGTTGTCATTGGCTCCAGTAACATTACTTTAAATTAACATTACTGTGAACAAACGGAGCCCTGCAACTATGCCCAAAGAATATGTTTTAAAAGAGTGGAAGCAGCAAGGATACCATAGTAACTCAATATATTATAAGACTATCATAGAATCCTAGGTTGGAAAAGACCTCTAAGATCATCAGGTCCAACTGTCAAACCATCAGCACCACGCCTGCTGGAGACCAACACCCGCCTCACTACAACCTCCTTTCAGGTAGTTGTAGAGAGCAATAAGGTCCCCCTCAGCCTCCTCTTCTCCAGACTAAACAGCCCCAGTTCCTTCAGCTGCTGCTTGTAAGGCTTGTTCCCTCGACCCCTCACCAGCCTCGCTGCCTCTCTCTGGACACGCTCCAGCACCTCAGTGTCCTTCTTGTAGTGAGGGGTCCAAAACTGCACACAGTCCTCGAGGTGCAGCCTCACCAGTGCCGAGTACAGGGGCACGATCACCTCCCTACTCCTGCTGGCCACATCATTCCTGATACAAGCCAGGATGCCATTGGTCTTCTTGGCCACCTGGGCACACTGCTGGCTCATGTTCAGCCGGCTGTTGACCAACACCCCAAGGTCCTTTGCTGCCAGGCAGCTTTCCAGCCACTCCTCCCCAAGCCTGTAGCGTTGCATGGGGTTGTTGTGACCCAAGTGCAGGACCCGGCACTTAGCCTTGTTGAACCTCATACAGTTGGCCTCAGCCCATCGATCCAGTCTGTCCAGATCCCTCTGCAGAGCCTTCCTACCCTCAAGCAGATCGACACTCCCACCCAACTTGGTGTCATCTGCAAGCTTACTGAGGGAGCACTCAATCCCCTCATCCAGATCATTGATAAAGATGTTAAACAAGACTATTATTGCTCTTTGCTTTGCTCCCAGGACACTGCCAGCAGGGTCCCTGCTGCATTCAGATAAGGAAAATGTTTTCCAGCCAGGAACTGTTTCAGAATACACTACTCACCATGCAGAAGTCTTCTCACCTGGGTGGTCCCACATGCCACGGCAGACACATGTCTTCCCAGGCTATAGGTTATCTTCCTAATCATCTTGTGCATATGGACGGTCCTGAGTTAACAAAAGTCAGGTAAAAATGAAAGAAGTAATTTAGCAATGATGTGACTGTGTGAAGCTAAACATACCATCTCTTGCCTTGCTCTTGGAAGGTAAACAACCCTCCGCAGGAGACTGCCTGGAGACTCCTGATGTTTCGACCAGGGTGTCAAAGCAAAACATTAAGCTGCAGAAATGGTGTTGGAAGAGTTCACCTGGCCCGCTGTCAATGCAGGGCTGAACTCGTGGTGGAGCAGAAGAAAAGATGAGGAGTAATGAGCTAGAGAGAGGTTAGAAGCAGACAACCACGTCATTTCCAAAGCTACTTGCTAATGATAAATCGCAGGGTCGGCCACTGCCACCTCCAACCTGAAAGATCACAAGGAGAAATCTGCAAGGCGGACGCAGCCAGAGGAATGCTGTGAAGAGATGAACCTGTTTTTTGCCGGCATCTAGGAGGAAACAAGCAGTTTAGTAAAATAAAGAAAGGAGCTGAGAACTGGTAAACCAGACTGCAACCACAAGGAGGAAAGCGCGGGTGTCCCTAGAGCCGGGAGTGCTTTATGTAGGCCTGGGTTACATGATCCTTCTTAGGGCAAAGCCTTGGCAGAGGAGCAGCAATTCAGCCCCGGCAACAAACTCCAGAACTCCTCTGGTCTCTTAGCAACTCCTATTCACTTTAATTAAATTCATTTCCAAACAGAGTAAGAGGGGGAGAGAGCTGTAAAGGTTCAGAGACTGGTCTGGGCCGGGCTTTGGGGCAGTTTTGCTCAGTGCCTGGCTGCTTCATGTATTTTCCCCGGGCGTTTGGCCATATCTCTCCAGCCTTTCTCTTGCTCACCCCTTCACCAGGAGGAAAGGATCTCTTTCTTCGGTCCTTTGTCCCTATTGATGATTTAGATGGTAAATTAATTAGAATACAGTACTGTGTTCGTGTTACATTTAGCAGAACATGGCTCTGATCTCAGCACAGTGTGTGACACCACAGCTGTGCAGAACCATCTTGCACCTGGGAAGAGGGGGTTTTTTTGCCCAGATCTACGGACTCTGGCTACAGAAGACAGCTTGGGCTGTGAAACACGGGAAAAGAGGGACCGGTTCTGCTAGACGTCTCAAGCAATCAAGACAGACATTGTCATAAGAAGCAATACACACCTGTCCAAAACTGCAAGGCTTTTTTCCACTCTCCAAATCCTTTTAAAGACAAAAATCTTAATAAAGTTTATGGAATCATACCGTGACACAAAAGTAGCAGAAGCTCTCGATTCACACTTACAACCTCTGCCCGTGCAGCACCGAGCTCAGCAGCCTGCGTGGGTCATGGAAATGTTCTGGTATCGCTTTCTCTGTGTGTGTGAGTGTGTGTGTGTACACACCCCTTGCTCTCCGGGGCAGAGCCAGCTTTGGAATAAATTCACCCAGCCAACGAGGTTACGCCGAGGATCGGCTGAGCCGCTCAAGCTGTGCTCTGCATTTTAACAACCCTCCGAACCCCGGAGCACAACAGCCAGGAGCGCGCAAGCTGTGCGGGGCGGTGGGTAGCAACCAGCTGGTCACCACCTGAAACCCAACACGAATTAGCTGACGCTCGCTGGAAACTCAGCCAATGCTCAGCCTGCGCCGGCTGAAAGGTTTTCAAAGCTCAGCAAGCTTTGCAGCGAGACCCGTTCGACCTTTCGCCTCGCAAGGAAACTTTGCTGATTCCTAGGGCGAGCCCTGGGCAGCTCTGGCTTTCCTCCCTCCTCCAAACTGTCCCTGCTCGCCTCCCCTCGTGATGGACCCCAGCTCTCGGAGCAGCGGCCTGGCGCATCGCTTACCTCCGGGCGCCCGTCTCCCGTGCCCGGGCCGGCAGCAGCATGGGGGGGCGCAGCCAGATC